ACATATCGAGATAATTTAATGAACAAAAACTGTATGTTCCTTTTTTCTTTTGTCATGTGACTGAAAATCATTTTAACTCATTAACGGTAATTATCTCAACAATTCAATTTTAAATTCACCAGGAAGCTACTAAATAACAAACTGAAATCCAAATATTTTCAAAATGTATTTTAAGGTGCACATAAACAGCAACATCTTTCTTTAGGTTTGTTTTTACCAGTGCTTAACTTTCAAATAAACTGATGGCAACTGCTCACTTCTGCTCTCTTGCAGCAGTTACAGCATCTCTGACAAGTCTGTGGAAGTTTCCATACCATGTCACAATGATAACATCCAATAGCAAACCTTCTATTCAAATACATCTATGGACATTGGTGCAAATTCCTGAAGTGCTGGAATGTAAGAAGAGCAAATAGAAAGATGCAACATTCCATCTCAGTGGTGATGCCAACAACGTACTTCAGTGAAGTTAAAGTCAAGGACAAATCTTAGCATGATGTGATCTGTTCAAGATGACCACTGCTCTGTCATTTCCCTTAGTTGTGCTACTGTTAATAATATGCCTTGGGAGTCTGAAACCACATCCCAGCAAGAAAAAATTAAGTCAAGATGCAGAAGATCTTCAGCATGGGTCAGGACACTGTTAATGCTGCAATTACTCAGCAGCCCAGGGAAGACTTGGTTTGCTGCTGTCCAACAAGCTCAGTGTTTTGTAATGCTGGTAGAAAGAGCAATTCTGGGGAGTTGGGCAGTTGATTCATTTTGAGTATTCACTTCAAATAATAATAAAAAACAAAAAACCAACAAAGCAACAAATCTATACTGGTGATACAAATGCTGAGCATGAACTACTTGGCAGCACCTCCTAAGAGAGGGGGAATCTATAGAACACCCACCCAGCTCGGTGAGCACAGAGCATGCTGTACACGTGCTGCTCCACTGCAGTCAAAGGGAATGAACACCTTAACAGACAATGCCTCAGGCATGCACAGGGCGAGGGGATACAAATGCTCTGCCAAGGGCAAAGAGGGTGAATAAATATACACTACAGGCAATAAATAACCTCGTTAAAGCAAAGTTCTTCCATACTGAAAGCATCAGTTCAAACTCCTGGATTCCAAAACCCTGCATCTACCCTAACTGCTAGTATTACTGCAGCTGGATCAGACAGCCACAGCAACAAGCTCATTAAGTGTTTCATATCTGGGCTACGTACATTATATTGCTTTAATCCCATCATCAATAATTACACTCCTGCTCAGAAAACCCTTTATTTCCCTTATAATTTCCCTTGACTTCTATCAGAATGGCAGAAGGAGGCAGCTGGCAGCAGAAGTCAGCATCACCACACAGGGCAGTAAAGTAAGCAAGACCAGGGCTCACACCAGCCAGGATCCCTTCCCACTGCCACCTCAGACATAACTCAGCACAGAACTCCTTCGTCATGTTACCCATACAGAACAACAGCTCCATTCTGCCTCATCTCACATTGTTATCTTCAGCATCAGAGGGCACATAAAGATCCTTCTGAGCAACAGTACCTCAATCACGAGGAAGAAAATGTCATTTCTTAAATAAAATTGTGGAGAGGAAAAGAAATAAATCTATGAAGACCTGTTCCAAGGCTACGATGTGCTTCTGCACACCCCAAAGCCACAGTAACTTACCTGCATGATTTCTACAAAAGCAAAGACAAAACCACTTAGCTCTTGCACTCAGATCACTTTAAACTTTCCATGTTTATGTCAGCACTGGTTTTTAAGCTCTGTTAAACACCTGGAAAAGAAAAGTTGTACAGCTGTTTGTATGTATACTTAAAGCACTTCACAAGCTGTTGAGTTCCCAAACAGCTGCTTCTATTACACCAATGACTTCACCATCTGCAAAACTATTGGATAAACTACAGTGAGTAAATATCAGGATAGCAGGTGCTAATAAATAATGAGAGCTGCCAGGATAACACAGTTCTGTAAGGAAAAGGTCTGTGAACATCATTTTCACTATAGTTCCCAACATGGCTACTTAATTCTAAAAGCTTGGCCGTGCATCCCACACCCAGCCAACAGCAGGTATTCATTTGACCAACATCAAAACAAAGCTTTACACCTCAAGGAATAACTACTGCAACAGTTTGGCAGCACTGTTATCTAAAGGGCTCTGCGTGGATCATTTGGTAGTATTGGGTATTTGGAAGGCTACTGTTACCACGTCAACCAAGAACTGGCCAAGGCTGTTCCTCCCAAAGCAGATGTACTGATACAAACAGACACAAAAATCTCAGCTTTTATCCAAGCAGACTATGATAGAGGATAACTTTGGAAATGCTGATTTACTTATTTTTTGAGATGCTCACTGTTTCAGGTCTCTAATTGTTCTTTCAGCTTTCAATAAAATAAATAATTAAAAAAGAATGCAGCAAAGCCTTTTATTTTTTTTCCCCAAAAGGCATACAGTACTTTGATATACCAAACAACCATTCACTTCTCATGAGATAGCCCAGCTATTTTTACTGACCTTCCTTATTACAAGCTGCTTTACTACCACACTCCCACGCTTTAAGAATAAACAAGATGCACTGAAACACACAGTAGGAAGTGTGCATGTGTTCATTTCCCCTTTGTTTCATGGATGTCTTTTAGGAATTGCACCATAGCCCTGAAACTCTACTCCATCTATCCTTCCCTGGCAGCTGTGCAGCTACTCATGTCATAAGCAATGCATGAACAATCAGAGAGAGAGGAAAATGCCCTTATCTCAGCTCATCAAAAATACAAGCAAGCAAGCCACAAAGGGGTCACAAATTAAAAATTAAATGTGTATTGACACAACACCACATCTAAATTCTCCCTGCCAAGCAACAGAAAACATCAGGCACAAGTAATAACAACAAAAGGTGGTCAAAAGAGGTAATGAAATATCACTTATTCAGGAAGTGTTTTTAACAATTAAAAATTAAGCAGCAACCTATACAAGCACCACGACAGCCCTCAAAGCTAATGGCAGTATCCTGCTGTTAATACCTCCAACACAGGTAACACATCTGCTGTCAGGAACAAAGGCAACCTCCTCCTGTCTGCTGGTTACTACAAACTTTAGAAAAGCAGCTAGTAAAATTCAGAATAACTATTAGGTCAAAAGTACTGAAATACAACTTCAGCAGTCTGTTTTACTTCTGTTATAGAACTAAAATAAAAGATAAATGAAAAGGTAGAATCAACCTCCCAAGGGGAGGCTGTGGATGCTCCATCCCTGCAGGCATTCAAGGCCAGGCTGGATGTGGCTCTGGGCAGCCTGGTCTGCTGGTTGGCGACCCTGCACATAGCAGGGGGTTGGAACTACATGATCATTGTGGTCCTTTTCAACTCAGGCTATTCTGTGATTCTAAAAGATACATTTAAACATACATGTGAGTGCACAGGATGCGAACACCTTTTGCTCTCTGACATCAGGAGCCGGTATTATATTAAAAAAATATATATACTTTCCAAGTCTCTGTAACACTCTTAATAAAAATAACTCCGTTAGAATGACTCTACCAAAATTTTCATGATATCCTGAAGAAGCAACTTCACTGCATTATAAGTTTTCAAGCATAATGTGAAGTGGTTTTGCCTGAAAGTAGCAAACTAATTCTTCTTCAGTGCCAATAATTGGTTTGAGTAACAGCAAGAAAACTAAGCAAACAACACACATTTCTCAACCATTAAAACTCCGCTTCCCTGTCCCCTATTTGCCAACCAAGCCAAATTTCTTCTGGTGTTGAATTCTACTGATTGTAGCAGACATTAGCACACATTTGCATTCTGAAGAGCAGCCATACAGATACATTGTGGTATTCACACAAACATTACTACAGCGCTGTGTTTTAAATCTGACTAACATTAAATCAGCTGGCTTAGCTCATAACAAGGATTTGTCTACCAAGTTCTCATGCAGTCAGAAAGTCTTCCTTGCTCATGTACTGCAATAAATAATTTAGAGTTGTTTCTTTTAATGCCCCTGCTATTTTCAGATTTATTATTCTTGCTTCTTTCTGCTGCCTGGTACGCAGTTGTTAAGAGCTGCAGCTCTGGAATCTCTCACAAGTAACAACTGACAGGAATGAATCCATCTCTTACATTTTGTAGCAGATCAATAATGCTTCAAAATGATTTTTAAGGAGAATCTTAAAGACTAATTAGTTTCATTACTTCTATAAAAAGTAATACACGCATTGAAAAAAATTAGGATGGGAACAGGCAACCTGAAGCATAATGATGCTCAGATAGGGATTAATATTATTGCAATAATGCAATGTTTACTTATTGAATAAAATCAAATGTGAGGAAAGGGATATTTTTGACCCACCATGAGAACAATATGTTCAGAACAAATATATCTATCCAGTTTCTGTCCCTAGACATATTCAGCAAACAGTGTTTTTTCTCACCAGAAGAAAGTTTCTTTCAACAATTCATTTTCAAAAGCCCAACAATGTATGCTATCATTACCTGCATTTTCTTTTTACATTACTTAAAAATATACTCAAATCCAGAGTTTCTTATTAAGTCAGGTGCACACAGTGTTAACGACAGCAAATAGTACAGAAAGCCATCCGTACTTCTGATGATGACAACTTCCCTCTCAGCTTCCTTTCTAGAAGTAAGTTTGGTAGGGGATAAACTCAGGGTTCTCTGCTCAATCATCCCTCTGACTTCTGCTACCATCTTTACTGCCAGATACAATCTACTTAAGACAATGCTAAACAGCTAACTGGGAAACTACTTTTCGGCTTCAGCAGAATTAACACACCTCTCCGAAAAACAAGGGCCCAGCCTTGATGTTGCAGACAAGTCTCCTTAATTGCAACACAGTTTTTACCCTTGACAGTACATCAGGGTACACATTGTGCTGACTGTTTATACTGTTTCGATGCTCTCAGATACTGAGAGGTCTAATGCATCACAGATCAGTCATTCCAGAGGAATATACAACTAAATTACACTGATGCATTCCGTTACCTTATTTGACCATTTGTAGGCTTGAAGAAGTTGGCTGTAAAGAGGCGTTTTGTCCTGAACAGGATCCAGGCTCAGCAGCCCGCTGTTGTGCAAAGGATGGTTCTCAGATGGTTTACCAACCAGATTGCTCAGACGCTCCAGCTCGCTGAAATACACAGGAGTTTTTTTTAAGTGAGATTTGGAGATACACACAGCTGACTTGTGCAGTCCTCCTACAGAGACAGCAACCCCATTTAAACTCTATTTTAATACCCACGAGTGTTTTAAATACTTGCCCAGTTTGATTAAAGAAATGTAATCACTGCCGTTACCCAAACAGTTTAGAGCGGTCTGTTAGTCATAAGCACACAGCTCTTAAGTAGAGAAAGTACAAACCAGGAGTCTGTAAGGGAGCCTGGAAAGAGTCAAACTATAGCACAACCTGCCTGCAAACACTTCCACCACCCAAGCCATTTTCTGAGCAAAGCACCCTTAGAAGCTACAGAACTGCGAGTTGAAGCACTGGCTGCAATACTGTAGGTTATCATAGAATTAACAAGCAAGCAGATGCCCTTTTATTTCATTAAAGCAGTAGAAATTAATACTGTCCTCATGTAAACATGCAGAAGAACTGGCATTGATCCTAACCCTGGAGATGGTCCTACAAAGTTTGTGGCTGCTCTAATCACATAGATGCATTCCAACCTCTCAGGGCAAGGAAGCATCTTCTGTTTCTCATGAGCAACAAGTACACCTGTAGAAGTGTATAGCTGAGTGTTTTATAGCATAAGTACCATTTTTCCATGGGAAAAAAAAGCTCACTGTGAAAATGATCTATTATTACTTCATACCTCATTTGTCAAACACTACATTTAATAATAACAAGAGTTAAGCATCTTTTCAAGTTTGCATTAATCAGCTGTAGAAGAAAGACTGGCTACTTTGCCCAGATATAAAGTGCAGTTTTTTCCAGAGACACAACTAATCAAGTGCCTTTCCCCTTGACCTGTGAACTTAAATTCTACCCTGACTGAACTCCAGAACTTCCACTGAATCAAGAGCAGGACTCAGCTACTTACAAAAGGGTGATTTATGAAAATCTCGGTGAAAAAAAGTCCCAAATATCTCAGTTTGCATTTAATTAAATCAATAAAAAATAAACACCAGTGATTGGGAACTAAGTAAACTTCCCTACCACAAGAGTCTTCTTAATTAATCATCATTTCCTGAAGTATCCATGGCCTGCATTCTTTCTAAGTCTCTTGTGTTGGGAACACTTATATATGTGCTTAATAATTTTTGATGCAGGTATACAGTAAAATAAACAAGAATAAACAAAATAATCATAGAATGGTCTGGGTTGAAAAGGACCACAATGATCATCCAGTTTCAACCCCCTGCTATGTGCAGGGTCGCCAACCACCAGACCAGGCTGCCCAGAGCCACATCCAGCCTGGCCTTGAATGCCTCTGGGGATGGGGCATCTAGTGATCAATAAATCCACTAATGCTGTGGAAAAGGGGGTGAAAAAGGAACTTCACGATGAAGCTACTCTCATATCAGGTGTTAGGACAAGGACTAATTGCAAAGAGATGCTGAAGGACTGCACAGCACTGAAACACTGGATGAGAAACTGCAGTGTAAAGAAGTGTAACAGAGCACGTGCAAAAATACAGGTCAGAGCCTGTTGCTACCCATTATTGTTTAGAAGCAAGATGTTGGGGTTAGACTAGCTATTACTTTAAAAATCTACTGATAAAGACAAGAAGGATGACCAAAGGGAGGGCACTGCTTCCATGCTGGGAACAATGAGGCCTCTTCTAGCAGGACAAGGGGAAATGGTTTTAAGTTGAGGGAGGGAAGATTTAGGTTGGACGTCAGGGTGAAGTTCTTTACAGAGAGAGTGGTGAGGTGCTGGAACAGCTGCCCAGAGAGGTTGTAGATGCCCCGTCCATCCCTGGAGGTGTTCAAGGCCAGATTGGATGGGGCCCTGGGCAGCCTGGTCTAGTATTAAATGTGGAGGTTGGTGGCCCTGCACGTGGCAGGGGGGTTGGAGATTCATGATCCTTGAGGTCCCTTCCAACCCTGGCCATTCTGTAATTCTTCAACTAGAAAACAATAACACCAAAGGGATACAACAGGAGCCCATTAAGCCGTGAGCAACATCATTCATAAAAATAATTAATCGTTTTCTTTCCTAACTGAAGGGAACAGGTAGGCAACAGGTGACATTCACTGAGCACAGACGGGAACGCTGCAGCCTGAGCCCTTTGTGGGCTGCACAGCCCAGCTCTTCCCACCAACGCTTCTGAAACGTACCAGCCTGCACTGAACAGCCACGGTTCCGCAGGTTAACCTCCCAGCTTCTGTACAGCTTCACATCACCTGGATGCTATGATTACTCAGAGCCCCAAACACCCCCGCTTCTCGTTTTAACACAAACCTCAAGAAAACAGAAGAAAATCCTCCCGCCCTCCACGCCACACAGCTGGGCACGGCGCCTCACAGCCAGCTCGCTTTGCTTACGACATAAACCACACAGAGGCGACCACCACGAGCAGCTCTCCTCCCTCCGGAGCGAAGCACCCAGGAGAGGCACCGCTGCTTTTGCGAACAGCCAAAAACCCGCCCTGCCCTCACAGCCGCCCGGCCCAGCCGCGCTCCCACGGCCGCCGCTCACCCCAAGTCCCGGCTGACGGAGTGCAGGCTCTCCTGGAAGGCGGCCACGAAACCCTTCTCTCGCCCTTCCAAGGTCTCCTTGTTCCGCATCCCATCCTTCAAGCAGTCGAAGACCCGCGTCACGCTGGAACGCAGCGCCTGGATGGCGGCGATGGCTTGGGAGAAGGCCTCCAGGTTCACCCCGGGGCTCAGCACCCCGTCCGCCATCTTGGCCCGCCCGGCTCCCTCCCTGCGGCGGCCGGCAGCGGCGCGGCAGCGCGGGGCACGCTGGGAAATGTAGTCCGGCAGCGGCGGCGCGGGGCATTCTGGGAAGTCCTCCTTGCCCCGGGTGGGTTGGGGGCGCTTTCTGAGCCTTTTTGTATCGCCTGGTCGAAACAAGCAGCTGAGGAAACGTTGGTGGGCAGTAACCGGGGCAAAAGGCGTGAATGTTGGCGAACGCATCTCTGAAATACCCGTCTTCTTTCTCAAAACGCTCGTTTTTCCTACCCAATTGCTCTCTTCTCATCTGTTTCCCCAGTTCTCTGCTAGCAGCATCCTAGCTAGCTCAGGTGCTGGGGGTCATTGTCCTCCTTTCGACATTCTGGTTGGATTTCTGCAGGCACAGGGACAGAAATAAAAGCATTTAAAATCACAGGGTTGAAAAGGACCACGACGCTCATCTAGTTTCAACCCTCTGCTATGTGCAGGTCACCAACCAGCAGCCCAGGCTGCCCAGAGCCACATCCAGCCTGGCCTTGAATGCCTGCAGGGATGGGGCATCCACAGCCTCCTTGGGCAACCTGTTCCAGTGCATCACCCTCTGAGTGCAAAACTTCCTCCTAATAACCAACCTAAACCTCCCCTGTCTCAGTTTGAAACCATTCTCCCTTGTCCTGTCACTGCCCCATCCTGCTGCTGCAGCTGCAGGGCTGCCTCTATCTGCCCTACACCCATGAACAGGTGCTCTTCAGTCAACAGGGTGAGGACCCAGCCTTAATTATCTGATGTTTGCAAAGCCCTGTGGGGTTTGGAAGTGCGAGCGCTGTGCTAATAAGCACTGCTGGTTTGATTTTATGGCAGCTGCTGGTGCTTCTGATGCAACCACCAGCCCTTGGCTGAGATTGGTGTTTTCTCAGTTTCTAGAATAAATAACAACCCCTCTCCCGTACAGGTATTAATTAAATTCAGCAAGCACAATTCGCACAGATTCTTTACTCGGAGATGTTTTGTGCTTTTTTTTTTTTTAAATATGTAAAATGGAAATGAGCCTGCCAAGGAACAGCAGAGGTGTCAGTGGCCAAGTGAAGCGAGGCTTTGCTCCCTGCTCAGTGACACTTTCCTGTCTATCATCCCATGGATTCTGAAAATCACATCTGATCAATTAAACGTTCCCAGACTACATGCAAGTTACTGACCAGTGAAACCCTATTACTTTGCATAAAAGTCAGGCAAATGAAATGGATATGCTTCTTTGGCTCTGATCTAAATAATGCTCTCCTATCTCGGCACAGAGTTAAAGCAGAACTGGAAGCAATATGGTCTGAAGCAATACAGCTCAGCCCACGTAAGCAGTGAAATGTATAGTGCTGTACTGCAGAGAATCGGCAATGGATTGAGCCTGTGTCTCCTTTCAGAAATGAGGAGTCAGGTTCTTCAGTCCAAACTCCCTTTTCCTCTTATTTCTCCTCCTCATTTGCCACCAATAGAAGCAGAAGTCTGCATAGTTTGGTGTGCTTGTTTTTAAGGCATGCTTTGCCTAAGCTGCACACTGCTTCTTCTTTTCCCCCTCAAGAAGTAATCCTTGTGTGCCATCTTACCCCTACCAGTGCAGTAATTCCATCTTCACTACAGCTGTATCCAAAGCTGGCATTACAGAAAGCCAAAGTACCTCCTTTTGCCTTAATATCACTAGTGACACATAAAACGAAAATCCAACTGGTGTTCAAAATGTGCACTGCTCCTTCCTATCTGACAGCTGTTGAGTGGGCACCTGCAAAAAATGATGTGGGTGGCCTTGCCTGGACACATACCCACATCTGAAAAGCATCAGAACTGACACTCTTTAAAGCCTTCAGCAGAAGTTTCAGGACCTGGTGATCTCCCTGCAATTAATTAATTAATTAAGCCTATGGGCCACATCCACACTGGGGCGTAGAGATGCAACCAGCAGCTGCAGGTCTGGAGCAGCCTGCTCTGTTATTGCAGCATTCTGACCAGCCTAATGCATGCTACCTCTCAGCACTGCTAATCAGCTTTGGCAGCCTGCTATGCCAATGTGATTACACTGCAGCTAGCCCAGTTACCTCCACACACTGCTGCTCCGTGCCATGTGGACAGGCTAAGAGATGGGATGGAGCACACTGCAGCTTTCTGCCAGTTACTGGATGTGTTTTGTGGCTAGAGACAGAGCTGAATGCTGGGTGCTGCCTGCCTGGTAGTGTTTGTAAGCTCTGAACTCACGTGGAGAGGTGTGAGGTGGTAGAGGGAAAGAGGTAACAATCCACAGCAGAGCTGCATGCAGCTTGACAAGTAAAGCACGCTTCTCTCAAGAAGCAAAAATTTGTCTGGGGAAGATGTAATTAAGATGAACCTTTCACACCAAAGTACATGATGGCACTCATATGGCAGCTACTAGGAATTAAGTGGGCTGTAATTAATCAGCAACACCAAAGAACTGGGATGCTTTCTAAATCCTTTCAGAAGCACTGTAAGCCATTTGTTAGGGAAGAAAGGGCCCAATTAGAAAAGCATTCGCATTTAAAAAGAAATAATTTAGTTGCCAGGAGAGAAAACTAATGATCACTACTGAGTTTCATAGCAAGTGCAGGTAGCCTCCCGTTAAATGCCTGGACAAGACAAATAAGCACTGCAATAAATATTGCAATGTATGTAATAAATGACATCGTAAGAAACGATCTTCATCTTCCTCTGAAATAGATAAATGCTGATCTTCATTCCGTGGCAATCTGGACTGATACCCACCAGCAGGGCCCCTTCATTTCTTCATGCTTCGTCGCTACAATCTTGACAGCCTTTCAGACAAATGTAATAAACGGATATGGGTTTTTTGTTCAAATAATTGTGAGGCTCAATAACACCGTTAGTCAAATGTTCTCGCAATTTTTCCATCCATTTCTTTCAGGATTTCAGCCTTCAGTTTGCCACAGAGCGTACCATCTCAAAGCAGAGAAGCTGTGGGGTTATGAACCCATGTCTGAGGCTTCTTCCTGGAGAAAAGAATGCATCCTACCTGCTTCTAGACAGCGTGAGGATGGCAAAGATACTTCTAGGAGCCTTCATCCTCAGTGCCATTTCCTATTGCTCCCTGAATCAGAATCTCCCACTATAGCCAAGAGCAGTGAGTGAAAACCTTCTGCCAGAACAAAGAGTGAAACAGCAAGCAGTGCTGACAATAATGTGCTTATCATCACTTTTCCTGAGGGGTGATTGGAGTTAGCTCAGAACTGTTTCAGGCTCTCAGGAGACGTAGCTCCTGTTAGAAATGATCTTTCCTCCCAACACAGTGTGTGAAAAGCACACCTGGAGGCTTTCCAGTCTCCTTAGGGGTCACTGCAAGTGTAGGAATCACACTTTTGGGGTGGCTGGTCAGCTCCTTGATTAGCATCTTCTTTCCATCTGTGATTATAGAGCATCTACATCACACACACAGCAGATTTGTCATCAGAGCTGCTAAGAACTGGATGGATGACGACTCTCAATTTCCCTTTTGTCTGATGAAACCAGCACCCTTGATATCAGTTTTAAGGTGATTCAGAGAGATTTGCTGCTCTTCTGTGCTGTGTCTGGAGTTTCAGCCTCCAGGGAAGTCAACCCAGCACCTTATCCCAGCACTGAATTTGCATGAGGAGTGTAAAGCTAAACACAAAAAGCAAACCATACCCAGCAGAACTCATGATGTATTTTATGCATGTAGAAAATCCGTCCCAAAATATGTCACATTTTACTTGCAAAAATAAAAAGATGCTGTTCTATTCTGCAGAGGAATATACTCAGCCCCTTCTTCAAGCATTCAGTGATCAAGTGTGGAGTCTGATGTAAAACCAAACGGGAAGAAACTATCATTATTTAAAGGCTACGTAACTGCTTAAAATTAGAGCTGTGAAGGCATCGAAAAATACCAGAAATCACAGATGGTTTGCAGATAAATTCACATTGCATTTAGTCCACTCAACATCTAAAAAAAAAACCCATGCTTTTGCCTTGCTGTTCAGTCTAACTGTTCATGCTTGCTCAAAACATACTTCTGTCTTTAAATTGGGCTTTGAGTCATGTTCTGTTGCCCTATACATTCGGATCCCAGTCACTCCAGAAATCTGCACATGTATTTTTAAATGAGGCAGTTAAAATTTAATCTATTTTGCACATTTTCAAAACGACAACTATCCAAAGCAGGTTAAATAAGACATCAGCAGGGACAAAAGAGCAGCAAGAACAGCCACGTAGCTCTGCATTATGCAAGTGTCTGAGACACAATGACCCAGTTGCTGCTTCTTTCTTCCATTGATGATTCTGCAGCATCAGAATCAGTTAAACTTGTTTTCTCTACCTGAGGACTGCAGGATAAAGCATTTACATCATTCTGGGATCGTCCTTAATTCTGTGAATTGTCTGGTTTAATCCCACTTGCATTTTATTTTTCTTTAATTATAATTGCTGGGCTGTACTTCTGAATATTCTATCTTATCCCTCAGGATTTCTGTCTGACACTGGTTCACTCTGCTTCCCTTACCACAGAGGGCCAGTATTTGGCACAGCCATTCTAGCTTCACTGCCCAGCAAGGGTCAGCAGAATTTGGATACGATGCTTTAATTCCGCCTTTACAAGTTCCTTGCATAACCCTTGAGTTAGGGTTTTGCAGTAGGGAAGGAGAAGCTTGAAACATGGTGGTTATTCCATACGTGGTTGGGCACATTCACTAGATATAGCATGTCTTTGAAGAGGTGTAGCCATGTGTCTGCTCCCATGATGTACGATGGAGTCCATCACATAATATGTGGTCATTCTTGGCAGGACCAAACTCTTCACATACAACTGAGACAAGCAGAGGTTGCTTTCCCCCAGTCTCTGGGGGTACAATCATGTTCAAAGTGTTCCAAAGATCCCAATTGGTAAATATTATCTGGGAGGAGCCTTGCTATGGCAATGAGACCTGATATGAATCAAGCACAATTTTTGCTATCATCAGCTTTATTGCTTCTAAATACAAATGCAGCATGCCAGGCAACCATCCTGCCCAGCTCTGAGCTCAGCTTTCTCCATTCCACCAGCCACACGCCAAGAGCCATTTGTTCCAGTACTTGTCATAAAAGCCAAGAGATTTCTCCTAACTCTTCATCCTAATTAAGCTACTTGCTGGCTTTCATAAACACCTCTCCATCAACCAATCAATCTCAGCATGATTTTTAACAGATGAAACTGGGCTGAACTGCCTTGAAAGCATCAGCTACCCTGCAACAAAGGCTTGTTCTCTACTCTTCAGCTTTAGTTACATTCCTCCTTTAATTTCTTCTCCAGCTGCAAGAGAGAGAGGC